TACATGTTAGTTCTAATATCGTAGTCGTACGTTTAGAATCTTAAACACATAAGGTTTCCAGATCCGGTCGGCAACAGACCATAGATCCGAACAAATAACAGCATATAAGGCATAAATCATTTAGCACATAAAAGCATTTTAGGCACAATTCCTAAAATAAGCTAGCGCTCACACCTCATAATCATCGCTTAGCATTCTACGTTTAAGTCTAGAAATCCTACAAATTCCTCGTTCGCTTAAACTAATTCTCTGATACCAACTATGACATCCCCAAAATCTCGGCCAGAAAAGACCGGTTTTATTTATGCTTTTAAAAATATTTTCAGAGTAAATCTTTTTCTTTTATTCAAAAGAGTTGCGGAATTTGTCCCAAAACAAAATATGATAAAATAAAGTTTATCAAAGCATTTTATCAAAGATGCATAATCATTTTATAACAATATTCGGGATGTCATGTTCCGATAAACAGACCAAAAGCATAAACAAATATTACAAGCAATACAACAGTTGAATTCATATAAAGGCTCATAAACAAAACAACTTGATGATTCATCCATCTTATGCCCTTGCGCCACTTCCTGTAATACAAATAAACTGAGTGGGTCAGGCTTGGGAGCCTGGTGAGCATATAGGGTTTTCAACCCGCAATAAATAATTATATTTATTTTTTTTACCGACTAACAATAACCCGATTACCCATTCCCGTTATCCTCACTTTACGTCCCTAAAATAACATCTATCTAAAGGGACCTAATCTAGGAAAGTTCATCGGGACGAAGATTACTGCTAAGGGGTTTCCTCAACAATAGATGTCCTAAAGGCAACCATGTGGGGGAGTAGAGTACACCGGTGAACACGTCGTTCACAACACCTACAGGTTATGAGCCTGCTAGTGTTCCACTGGACTGCCTAGAAGAGTCCGTGGTCGTCATCCATACTCCGCTAGATGACTAGATCAACAACAACATCGAGGCCTCTCATCTGTTTATCACACATCAACTATCTACCCATGTCCTACCCAACATATTAGTAGATAAAAATATATATTTTTATGCATAGTTTTAAAACCTGTAAAGCATGTTCATTTAATATATATTCCACATAAGAGATAAGGCACCCACATATAACACATATTTCATAGAAAATATATCATATATATGAGATAGAAGAAAGTGAATATACATTCACACATATAACAACCAAATATACACATCACATATATTTTATAATAAATACTTCATAATATGCGTTAGAAGAAAGTAACTACACACTCACATGTTCAGAAGATAACCGGACAGCACTACGACTTGTAGAAGTAGTATTCTTCGGTAGACCTGGAAGATCTTCACAAAAACCGAGCTTCTCGCGAGCAGAGCTTCGGCTCAAGAGTTGCACTTCTCGGGATCTTCGGGGCTTCAAAACTTGCTTCGGGGCTCGGGAATAATATCGGGGCTTCGGGATATTATTGGCACGCAAACCAAGGAAAAATTTAGAGAGAAAGAATGAATATTGGTAAGGAAAATGGCTGAACTTCGGTTTCTATTTATAGGGGCTGGAAACCCCGATTACGCTGGGCGTAACTTCAAGTACGCTGGGCGTAATCTCAAAGTACGCTGGGCGTACACGGCGTCACTGCATACGTCACCTAACAGTACTCGATTAGTTGTCAGCTCCTTTTCCTTTTCTCCGGTGTAAAGTAGATTCCTCCGGTCGAACGAATAATAAATAAATAGATAATTAAAAATAAATATTAATTATTTTAAAAAATTTGAAAATTCATATCTTCTTCATATGAACTCCGTTTTCGACGTTCTTTATATCCACGCGTAGGCGGGAACGTAATCTACAACTTTCGTTTAGACTCCGTCGGCTAATTTTGAATTTATTTCAACAGTTATATTTTTAACAGGCCGGGACAGGATTAGTCCGTTAAAAATTCATAACTTCTTCATCCGACGTCCGTTTTCGTCTGTCTTTTTACCGTTGCATTACTATTAACGAGATCTTCAATTCTCGTTTAGGTTGTGTCGGCTAAAAACCGCTCGATCTCAAATCGAGTATTTGGGCTGTATACCGCTAAGCTGAAACTTAGAAAAATCATAACTTGCTCATATGAAGTCAGATTTGGGCATTCTTTTTATGCACGCTTTCGGTTTAACGAACTCTATGACTTTCGTTTAGATCGCTAAGGCTAAAACTCGCTTTATCGTAAATTCACTATTTACGCTTTCCGGTATCGTGTCGGTTCCGTCGTGAAACTTCATCGGGTCATAACTTCTTCGTTATAACTCGGATTTTGGCATTCTTTATATATTCGGAAACCTTGTCACGACCACTACCACATCCTTCATAGATATCGGGTTTATCTAACATTTCATTTTGACGCTTATTTTTATTCTTTATTAATTATACATTTATAATTAAATAATAAGCACATAAATTCACATAATTCACAAAATACTCAAATATTTCATTTTTATTACATCAAAAGAGTTACAATAGTTGACCTAGACTATTACATCGTCTAAAAATGCTTAGCCCCGAAACCCGGGCGTTACAATTTCTCACAACTGTTTTGTCATGAGACTGCCACGTCGTGGCATGTACTTGGGTATGACGTGGTGGCAAGCTAAGTTGACTTTGACCGTTAACGTTTTGACATCATTGAATTTTCGTCAACTTGAGGGTTTTAGGATATAGATTGAGGAATTGCTTGTAATCATTGTATAGGTGGTTCGTAGTATCGGTCTTTATTTTCGCGTGAGTTGTGGTTCGTGTATGCTCTTATGTGGGGTGAGTTTTCTGATTATACTTTGTACTACAGTATGTATCATCTGTATGTAGGATGTTGATATGTTGTAGTGGCCTTTTTGATAGGTAGATCTGTTATCATTACCTGTGTTTGCTGGTTATTGTTTGTTTGTTTTACATATGTCGATATATTATGGGTGGGTTGAGGCAGTCCTGCTCTATGTTGTAGGCCAAGATACTCGGGCAGTCCAGTTGCGATTGTAGGCCCAAGGAGAGCGGCCCATCCCCCTGCTGTAGGCTCAGGAGAGCGGTCCAACTATATTTTGTAGGCTCAGGAGAGCGGTGTAGGTGTACAGGAGAGCGGTGTAGGTGTACTGTAGGCCTAGCGAGGCGGTCCAGTCAAACCAAAGGCTCATGTGTGCATGCAATGTATGTGTATTATTGAGTGACCTATTTTGGGGAACTTACTAAGCTTTAGCTTATATTTATGGATTAAATATTTTTCAGGTCAGTTTGTGGGAGGCGAAGGCGTGACTCTACACATCATTCGGTGATTGTTATGTCTTGGGATATATACTATGATTTGGTACTCTGATTTTATGTATGATTGGGAAGCAATGTTTTGGCGACTTATGTTTTATGGAAAATCGACTTTATGTCTTTTAAAAGTGAAAAAATTTTACTATGGATTTTTGGACGTCACAAACCATCAAACATGCAACGAAAAGTGAAGTTATCCGGTTCAGAAATTTCACCGAACAGCTTGAGTGTGTCATCCATCTTCATATTCTCACTAAAAGCTTTATCATGATATTGAATATGGGAGTTGTGTGGGGGAGATTACATTGACGGAAGTGGTCATAGGCTCGTTCAAGATCTTCATTCTCACAAAACCTGCTAATTAATGTGCTATAACTAACTTCATTTGGGTTTAGTCTAATTTTTTGTTTTCTTGCTTTACACAGGCTTTCTCGATCATGGTGTTATAAGAAATTACATCAGGAACAAAACCACTGTTTTTCATTTCTTGAAAAGTTCCAATCATGTCTTCAGATTTCATATTCTGGAAAAGGCCATTTAACATTATGTTGTACGTCATTAGAAATCTGAGGATGTGTATGTGTAAGCTAAAGAGAAACATGTGAGGTTTTGTTAGTCATCATCTTTCTCAGCCTTTTCACTGCTGGTTCATCCTCTATCATCGCTGCTTCATATCTCCTTGTCTTCTTGTGGTAGGCAAGTAATTATTATAGTTTCACATGTGCTTAGACAATTTCATCTTAATAATCATAAATCACATCATAATTACATGTTTATGTCAGTAACATGTGATTGATTTTTTTCCATTTCAATTACTTTTGTTTAATTTTATATATCAATTAGCGTAGTATACCCTTAGTAAGGGCAAAGTGGATAGCTTGTTTTGTTGGTTTCAAAAACATATCATTTGGAGCAAGCCCATCATTGTTAGTTGAAATACTTTAGATAAGATGTAAGTTGATACTAGATCCAGTGATATAGGAATTTTAAATTTAAGTAGATTGTTGGTCCAAATTTTGGAGATCCATAAACAACCATTGCAAGAAATTGTTATTTTTTTTTTTTTGCTTAAAACTTTCATGCTTATTCTATTATGTCCTTTTCTAGTGTTTAGATGCCTAAACTTCATTCCCATACGTATTTTGCACACAAAGCAACCGAGTCTAGCACTAATGAAGATATAGAATAGCCTTTCAACAGAAAATCAAAATCAAGTGTTTAAACACACATATACACACGTTACGTATCCACTATATCATGTTATTTTAGATAGGGGTATTTTGGGAAATTAACAAATAAAGAGCATCTTACTAGTACAAGGAGAATTAGGGGTATTTTGGGCATTTCATATAGTTAGTTTGTTATGTTAGATAATATAAGAGGGTTATGGAAAGGGAGAGTGAGGTATCCATTAATCTTTTTGTGAAATCTGGAATTTATTCCTTGGGAGAGTAGCTATCTCGAATTAGCTAACCTATCATTTGTTCTTGTAATCTTTTGGGTATATTTGAGGTTATCAATCAATATTTGAAGCTGTTGGTTGCTTTTTTATGTTATTGAATATGTTCTTATAATTCAGTTCATAACAAATGGTATCAAAGCATTCATCTGGGATTAGGGCTAGAGATAAAGGAGGGAAGGAGGCTAGAGGAGCTCAACTCAAGAGGGTTGAGTTGCTAGAGACAAAATTAGGGCATTTATACGATTAAATGGATAATCAAGGGCATTTGATCCAACATACCGTTGACTCCATAGCCTCTTTTCAGCTGAAGATTGACCAAAAGTTTGAAGAGGTTTTGATGGCAATAGCCATGAGCTGCCCAGAAGAACCAAATGGAAAGAAATCAGTGGTAGAAGAGCACAAAAACAACCCTCGTTTTTTCGCTGGTGGAGACAACGATAGGGGAAAACCCTATGGGATCCAGTGGATGTTCAAGAAATGGAACATGAGGTGGTTCCGACGTCGGAGGCGGTGACCATACTACCGGAGGCGAATACAAAAGGGGGATCAACTAGAGATATCACAAACATGAGACGAGCTTGTTTGATGGAACTAACTAAGAGGAAAGGTCATTCTATTCGTATGAGGATGAAGAAACAATGGAAGTTGAGGTGGGGGCTCTAGAGGGTGACGTCCTACTGTGGTATGAACGAGAACATCGAAGATGACCAAGTAGAGATTGGGAAGAGATGAAGAGTTGGATTCGTCGTCAGTTCCGACTACCACTGTCATCACTTCCACCGTTCCGGAAATTAGAAGCAAGGAACAAGGGAATGAGAGATCTGATTGTGAACCAAGAAGGAGCGGTTGGGGATCGTCGGAAGCTCGTCGTGTATTCTCAGATCGCTACAGTAACAGAGTACAAACCTAGCATGCCATCTCCATTAAAAGATGTAACAGAAGAGGTATCTAGGTCATTACAATATTAGGCTTAAAAACGAATGGGGTAAAGGAGAAATTTAGGCCATCGATAAACTTACCTATGATGGTTACCGAGAAGTTAAGCCCAAGTGAAAAATGGATCGAAGAGAAACTGAGCCCGGTCACTCAGTACAAGAAACGTCACATATCATTAGGAGAGCCGATTCAGACATTTATGTTGGAAGCGGAACGGGAGGGCGGCAGCGGTCGATCACCACCACCGACACCATCGGGAATAAAATTCAGAGGTTTCGACTAACAATTTACAGACTGATGGTAAGACCAATTTCAAACCTAACCTCAGGGAAGATCGCCGGTCTTTTACCTATTAGAAATTCAAACCAGAAGATTTGGTTCTTTTTGACAAGGGTCCACAAGGTTCGATTCATGGTGCATTTACTGCTTTTTACATCATTAGGTGGTTTGAGGCTGGGTACTTTAGTATAGATTTGCCAATACGTCTTACAAATACATATATATTTTGTTGTAACCACGGTATAGCGGAGTTTGGAACCTCGACTATTTTGTCGTGGCATGGCCACGACGTGGCCAAGGAAGGCCACGATGTCACACCCCGTTAAAGTGGAATCACGAAGGGTGACAGGCTAAGGTCTCACAAAATAAGGTAAATAGGATTACCAACCATAATCATTGAGAATTTTATGTTTACATCATATTCGAAACAATAATTACATTTTAGTTCCATACTACATAGTCTAGTACATAACAAGAGCAATAAACATAAATCATTGTGGTGTCTTAAACTGGCTTACTGACCTTTTCCTGAAAAGCATGCAAAAACGAGGGTCAACTATAAAATAGTTGGTGAGTTCACAGGTTTATAAAGGTACATCATTTTAGTAAGGAAATATAGATTTGTTCAGAAAAAGTTCCAACTCTAAATGAGTGTTGAATGCCAAATCACTCCGTTCACAACCAAGCCTAACGACCGTTCTTGCGCCATTCCATCATGTACATGGTTCCCATGATGTCAGTTCACAGAAATATACACTCACGGTTATGGGTGAGTGGGAGATGTCTACCCCAAATAGCGTTATCCATAAGACTGTCGGCTCGAATACGAGTTAATAGGCTGTAGTTCGGTTCTTGGGGACTTAACATACAAAGTTCATAACAAGTTCATATCACAAAGTTCATATCAAGAGTTCATAGTATAAAGTTCATAACACGAATTTCATAAAAGGGTATCATTCAAAGTTCATCAAGTTCATAAAACAATATCGTTCCAAGTTCATTAAGTTCATAACACAAGGCTCAGCAAGTTCACAAAATAGAGTTCAACAACTTCATAAGACAAAGTTTTACAAGTTCATAAAATAGTACGTATAGCTCATAAAACAGTAGCATGCTTTGCACCCCAAAACATGAAAACAGTAAAAAGGGGGCTGTGAATACTCAATAGGGAGAGTTTGCAGTTCGAGCTTCGCGGTTTGGTGTTGTAGAGATCGATTTCTATTAATGCCCTACGGAACATATAGTTTCTAGTGAGATATAATTCACTAAACCATTATCTAAGATCTACCTATCCAACTAGTGGTGTTGCAAAGTGCCTAAAGTTTGTTCGGTTCATTATTGGTATTATTGAATTCACGGTGCCTTGTGTTCAAAAATCCATAAAGGCATGAAAATGAACTCGAAAAATTGTAAAAATTTATATTCTGGTTCTAAGAAAGGGCATCGGTGTTCAGAAATTTTGTAGACATTTTTGAAGGCCATTTGATATTTAATTGTAAATTAAAGCCCAAATAACAGATAAAATTTAAAATATATGGTGAACGGTTTCTAAAACTCTCAATTTAATTTTTATAAGTTCCCATAATGTTCCCAAAGTTGAGAAAAATATTGGTTAGGGTCTTTGAGTCCAATCATCCAAATATGTAAATTCATGCTCCAATTTAATGAAAAATATGGATAAAATACCAAACAATGTCCAAATCGTCTGAATATTTACATGGAATTATTATTTAGTGAATACATTAGTAATACAATTTTCATATTTTTATCTCTTCTAAAAACAATTATTTTTAATTTATGGTCATTAAATAATTGTTTTTTTATAGAAAAATAAGGATTTTGTTTAAGCACTAGGGATTTCACAAAACACCTCTTAAAATCACTTACTTTCATAAAACAATTTTGCTCAGAATTATTTCGAATATGAATGGGGTATTTAACCTCCACAAATTAGGGAATGTAGCACTATATAGTGCATGAGTTTTAAATGTAGCTGAAAGTTCACGAATTTGTGTATAAAATTCTATGGGGTTTTAATCCATGAAATTTTAGGCATTATTTTATGGATATGGTAAGTTTCTAAAATACTTTTCCCCAGATTTAGGGTGGGTTTTAAGACCCTAATGCAAGACTAGTGATAACAGAAAAAGTGCTGTTTGCGCAACTTTTTTGTAAAAATCGTTAAAAATCAGATTTTTAATGTTATACAGTAAAGCCAACTGGGTTCGAAAGTTAACTCATGGAACTAGTACTCAGAAAAATAATATCGTGATTTGGTCAAGAAATAAGTGAGTTATGACCTTTTAAAGTCGAGTAAAATAATCTGACATAATGTTGAAGAGTAAAACTCATGAAAACATAGTTCAAACCTCTATTTTACCTAATGATATCAGTTTGTTTGCTTAGATTGAGATAGAACAACAATATATTAAAATATTATGTAGAAATAATTGTTTCTAACCATTTGATCTTACATGCAACCAAGATAGATGAGACTAAACTTTTGAAAAACCGGTTTTTGGTGCTAGATAAGGCTTGCATGTGCTCACCTTTGCTCTTGAATTTGGTTTGATCATGGATCATCACCATTTACAGAACATGCAACATATTTTTGGTGGTGATCCACAAACATCAAGATCAAACAAAGGTTCTTTGCAAGAACATGCCTTAGAAATCGAATATTAGAAGGAGAAAGTTAGTAGAACATGTAAAATTTGTTATGGATCTTCAAGATGTGTATGATAAGCACTTACCCTTTGATATGAAGCTTCAAGAAAACCCATAATAAGGCTGAAAATTCATGGTTGAGGGGCTGATTTTTTGAGAGAGAAAGAGGTTTCTAGAGAGAAGTAAGAGAGAAAGTGAGATTCTGTCTCTCTAGATAAACCATCTATCTCGTCGTCTCTTTGGGGCTATACTCCACTAAAATCATCCACAAAACTGCGGTAATGTGAGCTAACTTTTGTAAAACGAAATGGAAAAATCTCTCCTAGGGACTACGTATCTAAGATCCCTTTTTCTTTCTCATATTATCATGCAAAATCTGGTCTCAAATTTTGCAATATAGGGGCTAAGATGTAATGAGTGAGAGAGACTGAATAAGAGGTTGGGTATGGCTGAACTTCTGGGGAGGAGAGAGGGTTATTATGAGGTTTTTCTTGGTAAGGGTACCCTCTTAGAGTCTTCCCTTAACTTTTATAAAAATTTGGCTTTAATTTTTATAAAAACTCTAAGTATTTTCATAAACTTCCAAGAGTTTATTTCTTGGTTTTTATTGAACTATTTTTTTTAGAAGTAAATTTATAAACTTGAATTAGCTTGAATTAAGTTATAAAAATGATAACTTATGATTTGATTTTTATAAAATCAAATTTTTATATTTCAAATAAATGAAATAAAGGTTCATAACATATGAATGTAGGATTAGAAAATCATTGGATTATATTATTGGTTCATAATTCAAATTATGATGTGTGGATATTATTTCCTACATGTAATTAAATCAAATTATGATTTAATTAAATTGAGTTTGATAAGTTATCAAACTAGTTAAGCACGTCATATGTTCCGATTAAGAAATTAGGGTGTTCTACATACCGATGAGTTTTGATCTTCCGAACATGGTTTTTGTGTTTAGTTTTGAGATTGAACTTTGGCACTTTACAACCTAGTTGGAGTATTCACATATCAATGTGACTGTTTAGTACAAGCTAAGTTACACTACTTGTTCCAAGGGATCTATTAAGTCGCGATCTAGCTCAATTTGTTGCATCTAAAGCCAAGTTATATGCACACATGGAAATGACAAGGTTCTAGATGAGTCCTAACCTGAGTTTTGACGGCTGTCACACACGACGTGACAATGGTCTGCATGTTGACTGTTTGAAGTTGACCGTTGACCGTTGACTTTTTGAATAGTTTGACTTTTGGTCAAACTTGAGTAGAATTGAGGATTTGAATAAGGATTGATTTCGGTTTGGCTTAAGGTAGCTTCTGTTGGATGTTTTGTTTCTGACGTGGCAGTTGAGTTTCTGATGAGTAGTTAGGGTGAGTTTTCTCACTATATCCATGGGTTGAAGGCACCAATGCCGGCTCATTACTTGTTATATGGAATTCTAGTTGTCTCTGTGATTCTTGCATGAAAGACTAGGATGTGGCACCTGGAAATTGTATGAAAGACCAGGATATGGCCCTTAGCACTTATATGTAAGACCGAGATCTGGCCATCGACATTACAAGGAAAGACCATGGGGGTAGCCTATGACACTTGTATGTAAGACCAGGATTTGGCCCTCGACA